GGGTTACTCCTGGCTCTGCACGCAGGAATTACTGCTGGCAGTGCTTGGGGGACCACATGGGATGCTAGAGATAGAACCTGGACTAACAAGCGCTCTACCCGCTATACAATCTCTCTGGTCCTGTCATAGGAACTTTACTTCTTTTTGTTTGGGGGCCACACCCAGCAGCGCTTACTCCTAGCGCTGTGCTCATAGATCACTTCTGAGAGGGCACAGGGGACCATACCTGATGCCAGGGATCAAACTACAGTTGGCTGTGTACAAGGCAAATGCCTTAACCCCTCTACTATCTCTCCATCCCCTCCAAGTGACTTGTAAGAGATGATGAATAAAGAAGACTGTTAAGGGGAAAGGAGAAGCGGTGGCCAGAAAGGGAAGCAAGGACACAGTGAGCAAAATTCCATGGAGAAGAGAATCCTTGGGGGAGGAAGTGCTCCTCAGGTCAGGTCAGAGGTCTCTGACAGGCCAAGCAGGAGGAGCCTGACTGTGGTTTTGCTCTCACTACAGTGACATTTCCTCCAGGCTTCTTTTCCTGAGGCATTGTGCCTCATTTCGGGCCTGTAAAGGTGTGTGTGTGGAGGGGGCAGGAGCGTTTGACACCCCTACATTCCCAGGGAGGGAGGTTGGTTCTCCAGCACATCAAGTACATTCAGTATCTTTGTTTAGTTTTGGGGCCACACCAGCAGTGCTCAGGGCTTCCTCCTGGCTCTGAGCTCAGGGGATCACTTCTGGAGGGGCTCCGGGGACCCTCGATGGTGAGGGCAATCAAACCAGGGTTGACTGCATGTGAGGCAAAGGACTTCGCCACTCTGCTTGCACAGGCCGGCCTCTTCTGTTTTGAGTGTTACGGCTCTGCTGACTTTTTTGGGGTGTTTATCCACATCCTCTCTTTCTGTTGCTGCTCTTAACATTTCTGGACTGTGGTGCTGGCACTCACACACTTGGCTATATTGATGGCTAGGCAGTGTGTGGGGGAGGTCACACAGTGTTGTTGTAGGGTTCATGCACATGTGTTTGCTGGGCGTCCCTATGGGAGTCAAGCCAGGACTCACCAGGATGTACACTTTCTGGCAGTGGTGTTGGCACATCTGTTGCTGGCATCGCACACCTTCTACGGTGGAGCCAGGAAGGGCTGAGCACCCGACAGCAGAGAGCAGAGCCGCCAGGACAAGCAAGCTCAGTGCATGCGAGACCCCAGGGATCAAACTCTGGCATCCTTGTGTATGCAAGGAAGATGCTCTAAGTCAGAGCTTCTTAAGTTTTTCTACTTAATGGTTTCTTTTTTTTTCTTTTTTGGGTCATACCTGGTGATGCTCAGGCGTTACTTCTGGCTCTGCACTCAGGAATTACTACTGGTAGTACTTGGAGAACCATATGGGATGCCAGGGATCAAACCCAGTTCTGTTGCATGAAAGGCAAATGCCTTCCCCCTGTATAGAGGGGCTCCAGCCCCTTTCTATATATTTTCTACTGTTTGCCAAAAAAATTCAATGGATGAGCTCTGCCAAAACCACCTCATATTCAATAAACATAGCTGTTGTTGGGAGGGGAGCTGAGGCGATAGCACAGCGGGTAGGGCATTTGCCTTGCAAGCTGCCAACATGGCCGACCCAAGTTCGATTCCTTCGCCCTTCTTGGCGAGCTCAGCAAGTTACCGAGAGTATCTTGCCCGCACGGCAAAGCCTGGCAAGCTACCCGTGACATATTCTATATGCCAAACACAGTAACAATTGTCACAATGGAGACGTTACTGGGCCCGCTCGAGCAAATCAATGAACAACGGGAGGACAGTGACAGTGACAGTTGTTGGGGGGGGGGGACACACTTAGCTCCGTGTTCAGAAGTTCCTCCCGAGATCCAGAGGGTTGAACCAGGGTTGGCTGCGTGCAAGGCAAATGCCTTGGGGCTGGAGAGCTAGTACGATGGTTATAAGCACGTGATTATGGCTGCTCTAACATTGTTAGAATCCCAGCACTGCATATGTTCTCTAAGCACCACCAGGTATGAACCCTGAGCACAGAGCTAAGTGTAGCTCTGAGCACTGCTGGGTGTGGCGCCCTACCCCCCAAAAAAAACCCAGATGTTCAGTAACCTGTTACTGTTGCCAGAGTTTTCACAAACCCTACATTCATGACCCTGAGTACCACCAGGAGCAACTCATAAGCCCATAGCTGAGGGCCAGAGAAATACTGCAGTGGAGAGAGTGTTTGTTCTGCATGTGGCAGATCCAGATTTGATCCTGGGCATCCCATTTGGTTCCCTGAACGCCGCCAGGAGTAACTCCTGAGTGCAGAGCCAGGAGTAACCCCTGAGCATCGTTGGGTGTGGCCCCAAGATCCGTCCTAAGCCAAAAAGCACGGAACTGAGAGTAGCCCCAGCACTGCCAGGTGTGCCCTGCCAAAAAAGGAAGTTAGGCTGTAAGTCCCCAAGCTATTGCTCTCACACCCTCATTTCCTCCTCCTGATAGGTGAGAAAATTGAGGTTCGATAGGAAAGATTGAATCTAGAAGTAGTAGGGGAAGTCCCCAGAAGCCCAGTTGTGATCCACCGTCTTTCGGTCTCCCCCAAGCTACCCCAGGATGTTTGGTCTCAGTCCCTTCAGTAAGCACAGAGAGAATGTCTGGAAAGTTCCTTAGAACTTGGTTGGCATTGGGGTGCAGGTGTATGAGGAAGAAAAGGAGCCAGTAGGAAGAAAGTGCTAGTGAAGTCAAATTTCTCTAATAAGGAAACCACCAGTTTGGGAGAGATATCTGTACATCTGTGTTCAGAACTCCCAAGAAGCGAACCCCACTAACTCTCCCTCAGAGGAGGAAGAGAGACAGCACCTCTGGAAGGGAAACCCTTCAAGTGGCCTGGTGCAAACTTGAACCTGTTGAGTGACCTGAGTACACGCTGGTCGCATCTGACTTTGGAGGCGACGAGAGCTCCCTTGAGACAGAAGGAAGAAAAGCTGGCTGCCAGGGGCTGGCTGGAAGGAGTGACTGTGGGTCAGAGTGTTGGTAAGTTTTGCAAGATGGATGTGTTCTCGCAGTCTCTTACACAATGATGTGCATTGAGCTAACACCACACAACTCTTCTCTTAAGGGCAGAGGGGGATCTGTTTGTATGAGGCACTTTTTACCACATCCCAAGTAAGTTATTTTAAGAGGAAGCCACTATACAAGGATGGTGAGGAGTCAGATGGTCATGAGGTGGGAAGGTGGTCTATGGGTAAGGTGTGAGTCTGAAACTCAGACTTATGAGTAAACTTGGGGAGTGGTGCATCTGAACACAGGAGTTGGGGGGATCCAAACCCCAAGAGGTTAAAAGGTCTAACCCTGGCTCTGTGCTCAGGGATTGCTCCTGACAGGCCTCAGTGTATTGGGGAGCAGCTGGAGGCTGAAATGGGGCTTACAGATGAGGGAGTGGTTAGAGGGTCCACACAAGAACCACATGGCAGGGCAAATGCACGGATCAGACTTAGCTGGAGAATGAATAGGGACCCTCGGGACAAGAGGGAGGGGAAAGGTAGCAGGGGATGTCACGTTTACTGAACATCTTTGTAAAAATCCCATCCAAGAGGGCTGCAGTGGGCAAGGGACAGAACTGAGCTCAGGAAGGATTGGGAAGTCAGCGGCCATGTGGGGAGTTGTGGCTTGGCCTGCAGGTCCACACTGAAGCTGACCAGTACCTGTGAGCCCCCAAACGGCCAGGTTTGAGGGACATGCTAGCAGTTTGCCCTTTCTAGAGGTCTGAAAAGAGCCAGAACTAGTGCCGGGGCCAGGTCCCCACCCCTACAGACTGTTCCCCGAGCCCCACTGTCCTCTGTGAGCACACTTTGTAGCACACCAGTCATTAATTTTGTCTTTTTAATAAAAAATAAACTGTCTGGGGTCAGAGTGATAGTACAGTGGGTAGGGTGCTTGCCTTGCATGCAGCCAACCCGGGTTCGATTCCCAGCATCCCATATGGTCCCTCGAGCCTGCCAGGAGTGATCCCTGAGTGCAGAGCCAGGAGTAACTGCTGAGCACCACCAGGTGTGGCCCAAAAGACTAAAACAACAACAATCCCCTCCCCACCCCCCCAAAAAGAGTAAACTTCCTGGGGCCAGAGCAATAGTACAGCAAGTGGGGCACCTGCCTTGCATGTGGCCGACCCGGTTTCAATCCCTGGCATCCCATATGATACCTGAATCCCGCCAGGAGTGATCCCTGAGCACAGAGCCAAAAGTAAGCCCTGAGCACCACTGGGTGTGCACCCCCCACAAAAAAACCAAAATTAAAAATAAACAGTGCCAAGCAGTTTTCTGAATATTAGAATCAAAAAGGGAAGTGAGAGGTGGTGAGGTGAAACGGGTGAAAAGGAAGGGACCAGGCTCAGAGCAAGGTTCACCAGGTGTCCTGCCATGCAGACAGGACAGAGGGTCTTATTCCAGGGCAGGCCTGAAGCACAGGGAAGGTGCCAAATTCAGGGAGGAGGTCAGAAGCCCTGAGGACCTGGACCCTCCCTGCAGCCCAGGAAGGCTGGCATCAAGGTGGCCACTGGCCCGAATAGCCACGGGAGCGGCTGTTTCCTTTCTTTGTGCATGTGTGTGGGTGGGTGGGTGTGGGGGGTCACACCCAGCAGTGCTCAGGGCTAACTCCAGGCTCTGAGCTCAGGGATCACTCCTGGGGGCACTAGGGGGCCCTGTGTGTTGCCAGGGATCAAACCTGGGTCAGACAGGTGCAAGTCAAGCACCTGAACCCCTGTCTTGTCTCTCTGGCTCCAAAGACTTTGTCAGTGTGTGTTTCTGGGGGCCACGGCTGGTGCTCAGTACTTCTTCATGGCTTGCACTCACGATCTCTCCTGAGGAGCACCGCTAAACGGTGCCGGATATGAACCAGGACCAGCTGCCTGCGAGGCAAGTGCCTTCAGCCCTGGAGCGCTCTTCAGACAGTGACTCAGGAGCTGGCGTTCATCCTCACATGTCCTGATGGAGATTGAGGGAGTCCTGGAGTAATCCGCTTCTGGAGGAAAGATGCCAGCAGCTCCTTCGAGGCCCAGGCCTGGCTGTTCCCATAGTGGGCTGTGGCCCGCCCGGGGGCATGCTCAGGAGCCCCAGCCAGAGCTCTCTCTGGGAGAAAGATGGTCCTTGTGCTGCTCCCACGGGTTCTGGCCGCTGCCCCAGTGCCCCGGCCAGCCTGGGATGGCCCCGCCACGCCTGCCATCTAGGCCACTTCCGCGCCCAGGCGGTTGTTGTCTACGTCCACATCCCCAACCGAGGTCCTGTGTTCCTTGGGGCTCTGGAGGTGCTGCTCCCTGCTCAGAGGGGCCTTCTCCCCAGGCGGCGGTGTCCCACAGCCCTGGACCTTCCCCCGCGCTCGGAGGGCCCCCAAAGGGGCGGCCAGGAGGAGGATGAGGACTCCCGAGAGCACCAGGGCCAGGAGCACGGTGACTGTGAGGAAGTGGGGCCAGTAGGACCTGGGCGCAGCCAGGGAGGCTCCACCACCGACCCGGGTCAGCGGGGCCTCCACGCGCTCCCGGGGGATCCCAGCCAGCTCAGGGTCCAGAGCCAGGGCCTGGTCCTGGCTGTCCACCCAGTATGACACCACGGGGTAGGAGAAGTCATTCTCAGTGGCCCAGCACTGATAGAGGCCGCCCAGCCCGGGCTGCAGCAGCAGCAAGAGGGAGCCATTGTAGACGGCGGCCGAGGCCTCAGGGACCTGGCCAGGCCCGTGAGTCCAGCGGTATGAGGCCAGAGCCGAGACATGAGGACAGGGGAGCTCCAGGAGGGAGTTGGGGGCAGCCAGAACTTCTTTAACTGCAGAGAAGCAAAAGTGTAATGAGCTGAAGCAGGGGAAATGTCTCCTATCTCTCCAAATCTGACTTCTGTTTCCTCTCCCACACTCACCTCTGAGCCCTTTCCCAGACCCACCATGCCCGACTCTGATGGTCCCATTAAGGCAAAGGTCACCCCAATCCCCAATCTCTGCAATGGTTCCTCCCCCTCCTCTCTGCACCCAAAACCCCAACCCCCCGCGCTCAGTCTCAAGTTGGGGGGAGGAAATTGAGGGGCCAACGCCTGCTCCTGTTAGTGAGTCCTCCTGTATCTCTGCACACGTCCCACCCCGGTTCAACACTCACTGATTTGGGGGCGTCTCAGAGGGGGCCGGCTCCTGCCCCTAGGACCACTGGTGCATGCCCAGTCAGGATTCCCGTGCTCCATATCCTGCTTCCATGAAGTCCTGAGAAGGCAGGGAAAGGAAAAGCTCTAATACAGAGGAGGGGGAGGCTGGGGGCAGGCAGGGGGTGAGCCTGGGGCCGGAGAGATAGGACAGGACAATGGGCAGCATGTGACATCTTTTTTTTTTTTTTTGCCTTTTTGGGTCCTACCCAGCGATGCTCAGGGGTTTACTCCTGGCTCTGAACTCAGGAATTCCTCCTAGCAGTGCTTAGGGAACCAAATGGGACGCCGAGGATTGAACCTGGGCAGCTGCATGCACGGCAAATGCCCTGCCTGCTGTGCTATTGCTCCGGCCCCAGCAATGTGGCATCTTAACTGTGACTAGGCCTCAAATCCCAGGTATTGTATAGGGTCCCACTGAGCACTGCTAGCTATGAGCACTCCTGTCACAGAGCCAAGCATAGTCCCTGAGCACAGAACCAGGAGTAACCCCTGAGCACCATCGAGGGGTGGCCCCAAAGCTCAATAACAAAAACGAAACAGAAAAAAAAACAGAGAGCGCAGGGTAGCAGGCTGGAGCCAGCTCGTTGATGTCCAGCACTGCCTTACGTGTGCGAGGCCCTGGGTTCGATCCCCAGCATGGTAAACAAATCAACCCACCCCTGGAGAAGCCCACTGCGGCCGGGAGCAAGTCGGAAGGGCCAGCAAGGCTGAGGAGCAGAGGCTGGGGTGGAGCGTTCGGGGACAGGCACTCACGGGATGGGGCTCGGCAGGAGGCTGCAGGTGCGGGCCTGCGGGTCCCAGGCACAGTGGGGGTCCCGGGCAAGGACGCAGTCCACACAGCTCTCGTAGATACTGCAGTTGGCCCGGGGAACCCTCCATATGCCTCCGGAGAAGCCTGCAAACACGGCGCCCTGTGAGAGAGATGCAAAGCTCAGCACCAACAGCAGCACCCAGGCCCCGCCCACCCCGAGGATGGTCCTACCTGGGAGGGGGCCAGCTGCAGGTTGCGCACGGGCTCAGGCTCCGGGAAGAGCTGGATCTCCTCCACCAGGTGGGCACCGCCATTCCCGCTCACCACGGCCTTGTGCAGGGACCCGACGGCTAGGGCAGAGAGCAGGCCTGGACTCACAGCACCCCTCGCAGCCCCCGACGCCACTGGCCTCCCCGCAGAGGGAAGGGCTTTTATTTTTAATTAATTTTTATTTTGGCTTTTTGGGTCACACACCCAGCGATTGATGCTCAGGGGTTATTCCTCGCTCTGCTCTAAGGAATCACTCCTGGTGGCGCTCGGGGGACCATATGGGATCCCAGGGATCCCAGGCCGCCATACAAGGCAAATGCCCTACCCACTGCACTCTCTTGTTCTGGCCCCAGGGAAAGGCTCTTCTATGTTTTCTTTTGGCAGTGCCAGTACTGGAGCCAGGGCCTCACGCCTGCAAAGCAAGTGCCCAACTGACTGACTACTGAGTCCCCTCTGCCTCCCAGGAAGCTCCTCTGAACTGTGCCAGTCACAAAGGCCTTGCAATTCATGGCCTTTCTATCCTTCCTTTGCAAATTGCACGTTCTTGGGCACAGCTGAGAGATACGACAGCGAATAAGGAGCTGGCCTTGCATGCAGTTGACTCAGGTTTGATCCATATACCACATAGGACCCCCCAAGCCCTGCCAAGGCTGATCCCTGAGGGAAGAGCCAGGAGTTAGTCCTGAGTATGCATGCACGCGCGCGCACGCGCGCACACACACACACACACACACACACACACACACACACACACACACACACCTCTACATTTTATTTCTTTTGTTTTGGACCACAAACAAAAACATCAACATTCATCCTTTGGGCCTGGAACAATACTATAACGAATAAGGTCCTTGTTTTACACATGGCTGCACCAGGTTTCCACCATGTGTGGCCTCCATCAAAAACGAATGAATAAATGAATGAACTCTTCTTTAAAATGTTCCCAATCCCTGACAACATATTTTAGTCATGAAGAACTAGCAAGGCATAATAAAGAAATAAAAAGAATAACCCTGGTAAGTTCGCTTAACTCAGGCTCGAGTATATCCACCTCAGCGGCTCCATGCCCCCCACGCGGTCTCTTCCCCGCCTCAGCCCTGGTCAGTCCTGCTTCCCCCCACCCCCGCAAGTCCTGCAGAGCGCACCCTGCAGGGGGATGCCCCCGACCACCCCCCACCCCGACAGAGTTGGGGAGCTGAGGCTCAGGCTCTCAGCCCCTCCCTGACTGGTGCCAGGCTTCCCGCCCTCTCTGTGCCTGCTGTCAGTGGCCCTCTGCCCACTCCAGCTGGTCCTTGCTGGAGTCCTTGAGTCCAGTAGGGGGCCAGCAGGAGGTCACTTGCTTTGCATGTGTGAAACCCTGGATCCACCCCTAACAGCAAAAATAATCACAGCAACACAGCACCGCCTTTCTGGCCAACGTGCTGCAGGAGATCTCCGCGCCCAGGTTGCCAGCCCGCCCCTCACAAGATGCCTTGCCCCTTTGAGATAAACAACCCTCACTGAGGCACTGGGAGACTCCCCCCCCCCCACACACACACCCGCAGGCATAAAGCAGGGGGGCCAGGAAAATGTCTGGCTACTGGCTCAAACCCACCTCCACCAGCTGACTCCCTGCCCCAGGCTGCTGCCTTCACTCACCTGTGCCCAGGTACAGGACCAGGTGGCGGTGTCCCTCAGTGCCCAGCACCTTCTCCACTGCCAGCTGCGTGTACTCCACACCCGCCTTGAACAGCAGGGGGCGTCCCACCACCTTCTGGTCCATCAGGAAATGGTTCTTCATGAAGGTCAAGGCTTTATCAGAGGAAGGGCCGGCTGAACACTGGGAGGAGGGAAGGCAGGTGGTCAGCATTTCCTCTCCGACTCCCCCTTCTCCCATCCACACAATGAGTCCCCAGCACCCACATGCCAGACAGGCCCTATGCCCCCCTGGAGCTGCCTAGTACTGAACCCCAGCCTCTGTGTGCTGAGTTCCCAGGGCACCAGGCACCTCTAGGCTCGGTGGCTGAGAGGCAGGAGCATCTGTAGGAGGGCACTGGGCAGTGCCCCTGGCCCCTTTCTCAAGGAGACAGGCTGAGGTCCCTCTGCAAACCAAACCCTTATTTCCTGATCCATCCAGGACTGGTACCACAGCCACCCAGCCAAGTGGCTGCTGAGCCAAACACTACAGGTGCCCCTGAACTTTCCAGAAAAGTCACTCAGTAGCCCCCTGGAAATTCACCTGGGTGGGGCTGGAGAGATATTACAGGGGCAAAAGCACTCGCCTTGCACACGACTAACCGAGGTTCGATCTCTGGTACCACATATAGTTCCCCCAAGCCTGGCCAAGAAGGGATCCCTGAGCACAGAACCAGAAGAAAGCCCTGAGCACTGTGGCCCCCCATAAATTTAAAAGAAATTTTAGCTTGCTCTTCAAGTCCGTTTTATCCCTTGAACATGTGTCTCACTCACTCATCTGTTTCCTCGCTTGTTTGCTCTTTCAAGTTCAAGCTCTCTCCTGAGTGGCTATTCCTGTCCCCTGCCCACCTCACCCTCCCTCTCCCCGACCCCGCCCTGGCACAACAATCTTCTAAGTAAGTTTCATTCGGTAAAAACTATCTTGCTTTGGGGCCCAAGAGATAGTACAACAGGGAAGGTAGTTGCCTTGCACAAGGCTGATCCTGGATTCAGCTCTGGCCTCCCGTGTAACATAGAGGCTAACCAATCCTGACTAACAGAACATTAACACACAAGGCTTAACTTGCAACAATAGCTTAGCAAACCCTCAAAGACTTAATGTCCCCACAGTGAGATACAACAACTTCCACAAATTTTCTTCTACAGAAATATTTTTGTAATCATCCTGTTAAACAGTTAGTGGTAATAAGCAGTACAAAAAAATTGCTGTAGACCTGCTATGGGGGCAGGCTTGGGGGTGACTGGGAAAAAGGAGACAGTGGTGGAAGAAGGTGATAGTGGTGGTGGGATGGGTACTGGGATAGGAATGCCAGTAATAAATCATCATGAGCAATTTTGTAAACCACGGTGTTTAAATAAAGTGAGGAAAAATTAATAATAATTTTGAAAAGAATCTCTGGCATCCCATATGGTCTCCGAGCCCACCAGGAGTGATTCCTGAGTGCAGAGCCAGGAATAAACCCTGAGCAACACTGAGTGTGGCCCCAAAACCAAACCAACAAACAAAAAAGCCCTTAATCTTACTTCAAAAAAAAAGAAATCAACCTGCGGGGGGGGGGGGGGGGGGAACGTTGGAGCAATAGCACAGCGGGTAGGGCATTTGCCTTGCACGCAGCCGATCTGGGTTCGGTTCTTAGCATCCCATATGGTCCCCCAAGCACCGCCAGGAGTAATTCCTGAATGCAGAGCCAGGAGTAACCCCTGAGCATTGCCGGGTGTGACCCAAAAAGAAAGAAAAAAAATTAACCTGGGGTGAGCAAATAAACAAATGCTACCCTGATGGCAGAGGCTGGTTCTGTGCCCCTCCCACACACACCCTCCCGGTGTCCCCCAGAGGCGCAGCACCCACGGTGGGAACCATGACTAGAAAGAGCGCGTCTCATCACGGCAGGCAGGAACTCGAGGCACGACTCGGGGAGACGCCCCTCTCCGCTCTGGGCACACATGCAATGAGGGGGCTGCACCGGCTGTTGCCTCACAGCCCTGCCAACACTGGCACCCGGCCCTGGCCTCTGGTCACGTTCTTGCCCCCCTTTTGTTCTGTGGCCAGCCCCAACTGTCACCAACCAGCCATGTCCCCTGGACAAGGGGCTTCACCCAAGCTGTAGTTTTCTCACCGGCAAAGCAACAGCTGTATCTCCTGTGATGCCAGACGGAGCACACGCTCACTCTAGCTTCCTCCCAAAGTGACTGGGGAAGGAGATGCACACCGCCCGCAGTGCTCAGGGGCTACTCCCAGCTCACTGCTCAGGGGTCTTTCCGGGCAGGGGACCATGTGGTGCGGGGGATGGAATCCAGGTTGTCCACATGCAAAGCCTGTGCCCAGCCCTTAGAGCTCGCTCCAGTCCCCTAAAGAGATTTTTTTTTTCTTTTTTGAGTTTTTGGGCTATACACAGTTGTGTTCAGGGCTTACTCCTGGCATTGCACTCAGGAAATCACTCCTGGTGAGACTCAGGGAGCCCTATGGGGTGCCAGGATCCATCTCAGGTTGGCCTTTTACTATATCTCTCCCAAGTCTGCCAGGAGTGATCCCTGAGCACAGAGCCAGGAGTAAGCCCTGAGCACTGCTGGGTGTGGCCGCAAAACAAAAACAAATGAACAAACAAGAATTAAAAATGTTCTGTTTCATTTTGACCAGGGTTTTTTGGGGCTTTTTTTTTTTTTTTTGGCCATTCCCTGCAGTGCCAGGCATTTCGATGCATCAGGGGTTAGCCACTTGTGAGGCATCTGCCCTTTGTCTGGACCATCTCTCCAGCCCCTTGGTGTGGTTTTTGAGCCTCACCCAGTAGTCTTGGTGGCTACTTCCTGTTATGTGCTCAGGACTCACTCCCAGAAGTGCTCAGGGGAACCAGCTGGTGTCAGGGTCTGAACTCAGGCCTCATGCATATAAAGTACCTGCTCACAAGACCGAGCACCTGCTTTCCTGGCAGGAGGCCTAGGCTCAATTGCCAGCACCACATGGTCCCTTGAGCACCTCTAAGGGAAAGCACCAAGCCAGGAGTAGCCCCTGAGGGTTGGGCAGGTGTGGCCTGCAAACTGAGAAAAATTAAAGGAAAAAATGTTGTGGTCGAGGAACACAGAGGTGAGGACACCTGCCTTGCAAGCATAAGGCCATGAATTCAAATCCTGTGTCCCATTTGCAACCAGCACAATCCCTGCAAAGCATGTGCTCAGCCTGTGAGCGTCTCGGACCCATGACAGTCGCTTGGCCACCTGCTGATGGGAACTTATATGGATCTGTTCATATCTGCTACAAATAATGATGCAGTAAACAATTGGGTTGCATATATTTTTCTGAAAATGTGCTTTCAAGGGCTGGAGAGAGCTTCCCAGGTTGAGCACATGCCTTTTTTTTTTGGTCTTTGGGCCACACCTGGTGATGCTCAGGGGTTTCTCCTGGCTCTACACTCAGGAATTACTCCTGGTGGTGCTTGGGGGACCATATGGGATGCCAGGGATTGAACCAAGCTCAGCTGCATGCAAGGCAAGTACTCTACCCGCTGTACTATAACTTTGTCCCCCAAGCCCATGCTGTACATTCATGAGGCTTGGGTTCGAGCCCTGACACCAGTTGCTTCTCCTAAGCACCGCTGGGAGTGAGTCCTGAGCACATCACAGGGAGTAGCTACCAAGTACTATTGGGTGTGCTTTAAAAAACCAAACCAAGAGGCTGGAGAGATGATCCAGAAGAAACAGTTTCCTTGCAGGTGGCTGACCCCTGGTACATCTAAGTTCGTGGTATTCCAGAGGATACTCTGAGCCCTCCTGGAGTGATCCCTGAGCTCAGAACCAGGAGTAAGCCCCAAGCACTGCAGGGCAAGATCCAAAAGCCAAAATAGATAAATAAAATACGATTTATTATTCTTGCAGTTGTTATTCTATCCCCAACAATATAAGAGCCTCCAAGCACTGTTGAAAATGGAGCCAGAAGTCTGCCAGATCTGACACAAATCAATCAAGGAAAGAAAAAAAAAAGAAAGATATAGTTCCTATTCTCCAATTTGGTTCAAAGACTACTCCACCAAGAAAAATAAATAAATAAAATCTTGCCAGTTGCAACAACACAGATGTGGGCCTTGGGGGCAATCTGCTCAGTGAAATAAATTACAAGGAGCAAGACAAATTCCATATGATTTCACTCACTTGTGAACTATAAAGAAACAAAGCTGACAACGCCCAGACTAAAGCATCCAGCCCTTAGATACTCACAATGGAATCCGGCTACAAAAGAGGAGGGAGGCTGGAAGGGCACTGGTGGGGGTACATTTGGTGGCCATGGTGTGATGGGTACAGCTGCAACGGTGAGATGCTGCAAAGCTGTCCACCAGAAACCGAGGCAGCAGTACAAACCATTATTAGCTGGAAAAACCACAAGAGAGAGCAGTTCTTCCTTCCTGCAGAGTAAAGAGTGTGCTGCCTGGAGGGAAGGCACGGAGCCACATGAAACAGCCTCACCCACCCAAACCCACTTCCTCCTCTGGGAGTCTAGACCAAAAGCTACAGAAGATGCTTAAACTCCATCAGTGTTCATCAAGATCCAGACCGCAGGGCACAGGGAATGTGGCTCAGCGGTACAGCACTTGCCTCACATGTGTGAGACCCTGAGTTTGCTCTTGGGCACCATAAAAAAAGAAAGAACTCTGGATATGACAAATCAGTCGCAAGATGAAAAAAGATGGAGAGGGAACATAGAGACTGAAGAAGACAAAAGATAGGCTGGAGCAATAGTGCAGTGGGTAAGGCCCTGCACACAGTCGACCTGGGTTCAATCCCCATATCTTCCCCTGAGTACCGCCAGGAGTAATTCCTGAGTGCAGAGCCAGGAGTAACCCCTGAGCAATGTTGGGTGTGACCCAAGAAGAAAAATAAACAAATATATATATATATATATATATATATATAAAGAGAGAGAGAGAGAGAGAGAGAGAGAGAGAGAGTTTGAGGTCAGAGAGACAGTAGAGGCATTAGGGCACGGTCAGAGAGACAGTAGAGGCATTAGGGCACTTGCCTTTCACAAAGTCAATCCACAGCATCCCATATGGTCCCCAAATACTGCCAGGAATGAAGCCCTGAGCACCACGGGTGTGGCCCGAAAACAAAATCAAACAAAACAGTAAAACCAAGGAATGTCACTGCTTGCAAAAAAAAAAAAAAATCTTTGAAGACATAAGTAAAGGCCTTGAGATGAGATGAGATCATTCTAGGTTATGGGGACCTCCCATGCAGTCAATCCTTACAGGAGAAGGGAGAGAGACAGACAGAGAAGGCAGAGACAGGCGGGTATGCGCCAAGCAACAGCAGGCCTGCCAGCAGCTCGCCAGGCGAGGTGAGAGGCATGCAGCAGACTCTGCTCACAACCCACAAGCGAGCTAAACGTGCTGGGTCCCAGCTCCCAGCTCCTAGGCTCCACAGCCACAAGGAAGCCCGCTCCTGGCTCTGAAATCACATGGGAAGCTAATGGAGATGAGATGATAGGGTTGGACTTGGCTCCAAAATGATGCAGAGACTGGGAGAGAGCTCAGGGCGGAACACATGCTCCTGGGAGGCCCAGGTTCGATTCAATGAAATAATGAGGGCAGTGGATGGGGTAGAGACAAAACAGGTTTGTTTGGCCTTTCATTGTGTTTTGTTTTGGGCCATACCCAGCTGTGCTCAGGGCTTATTCCTGACTCTGAGTTCAGGGGTCACTCCTGGAGGTGCTCAGTGAACCATATGGGGTTCAGGCAATTGAACCTGGTTGGTCACACACTCGGGCTTTGAGTTGAAGCTCTTTGATAGACATATGAAGGTCCATTATGCTGGTATTTGTAATTTTTATCTTTTTAACTCTATAGAATTTTTATTTATTTATTTTTGTTTTTTGAGTCACACCAGTAATGCACAGGGGCTACTTCTAGCTCTGCACTCAGGAATCACTACTTGCAATGCTCTGGGGACCATATGGGATGCCGGGGAGTGAACTGAAGTTGGCCACATGCAAGGCAAACACCCTATCCACTGTATTATCACTCTGGCCTCTCTATAGACTCTTTTGATAAAAAGAGATATTCGAAGCACAAAAGACTCTACCAGAAAAACAAAACAAAACTTTGACCAATAGTTCAAAGAGACACAGCAGAATAACAGAACAAAAGCAAAGGCTTTGAAAATAGGAAAGGAGTACAAAAGTGAATAGTTAAGGAAAACCTCATAGAACTGAAGAAACTAAGTTTCCAGTGCTTTATATTGGAATAATTTACCCAACATAAAAAAAACTGAACAGTGGGGGCTGGAGCGATAGCACAGCGGGCAGGGCGTTTGCCTTGCACGCAGCCAACCCGGGTTCGATTCCCAGCATCCCATATGGTCCCCCGAGCACCACCAGGAGTAATTCCTGAGTGCAGAGCCAGGAGTAACCCCTGAGCATTGCTGGGTGTGACCCAAAAAGCAGAAACAAAACTGAACAGAGCATAACATCATGAAATTTCAGGGGGGAAAACCCCAGACTCCCCCTCCCGAAAAAAAAAAAAAGGTTGGGGGACAAATAAAGATTCCAGTGAGAAAGAAAAAGGTTTGTTCAAAGACTTTGGAATCAGAATACCTTTGGGCTTCTCAAGAGCAACACTGACATATAGACCAAGGTAGAGCAAGGTGGCTGGGCTGGAGAGACAGGTCAGCAGGGAAGGTGCTTGCCTCGTGCGTAGCTGACCAGGATTAGGTCACTTGAGACCACACAGGGCCCCCTGAGCACTGCTGGGTGTGGCTCAAAGCCCCCCTAAAGAAAGGAGGTGTCAAGGGAATAGTTCAGAAGCTTGGAACACTTGCTTGCGTAAGAGTTCAGTAAAGCATTGGGTTCCCGCATGCCACAGAGTGTGATGGGTATAGAGCCCGGCCAGCACTGCTATGAGGGTGTGGGCACTCTGGTCCTGGGCCTTACAAGCTTTCTTTCTGTATTCTTTTTTTTTTAATTCCTCTTTTGGGTCACACCAGCGATGTTCAGGGGTTTCTCCTGGCTTTGTACTCAGGAATTGCTCCTGGCGGTGTTCGAGGGAATGCTGGAGATTGAACATGTGTCAATGTGTGCAAGGCTACCTGCTATCGTTCTAGCCCCACAAGTTTGCTTTCTTCCTTTTTGATTTTTCTTTTGTTTTTGTTTGGGTGCCACTCCTAGCTGTGCTCAGGACTTTCTCCTACCAGGGATCACTACTAGCAGTGCTTGGGGGACCATAAGGGATGTCAGAGATCTAACCCAGGTAGACCACGTGCAAGGCAAATGTCCTCACTGCTTTACTATCACGCTGGCCCCTAATTTCTGTAAGAGGGGTCACACCTGACTATGCTCTGGGCCCCCTCCTGGCTCTGTGCTCTGGGATCATTCTTGAAAGACCAGAGGACTATGGTATGCAAAGGATGATCCCAAGTTTGCTACACACCAGGCAAGTGCTGTAACCTTGTTCACTTTGTCCTCTCTTTCCAGCCATGCAGCAGCCAGGCATGTGCCAACACCACACAAATGAAGAGTGTGACTCCTGGCCATCACCACGACCAAACAAAGTGAGAACAACGCAGGCAAGGGTGTGTGAACAATGCTCATCACAATCACATAGAGAAGAGTAGAGGAGAAGAAGAAGCCATAGGATACAGAAGAGCACTATAGAAAGACGATAGGGGATGCCCCAAGTGACAAGGATGGGGATTCCCGAATGACAGAAATCTGCACTGCTGCATATCTCAGACCTGCGAGGAATTTCCAGGAATGAGAAACTACAAGGCAACCTCTGGGTCAGAAAGTCTGAGATCACTGAGCCCGAAATGGGAACTGAAGAAAAAATGAGAACTTAGAGGACTAGAGAGCCAATCAGCTGAAAACACACTTGCCTCACACACAGCCAAGCCCTGATTCATCCCTGGTATCGCGCAGGGTCCCCCAAGCACTGCCAGGAATGATCTCTGAGCACTGAGCCAGGAGCAATCCCCAAACCTGCCAGGAGTTTCTCTTTCTCTCTCTCTCTCTCTCTCTCTCTCTCTCTCTCTCTCACACACACACACACACACGTACACACACACACACACAAAATCTGATCTAAATGTAAAGCAATGCTGGGGGATGTGACAGAGTGTAAGCGAGGCAACTCTGGAGTGGAGTAGCAGACCCTGGGCTGTACTGACTGATTTCCCTGCTTTATATATAGTCCTGCTACGGTCAATTTCAAGCTACCTACATAATATCACTGAACACAGATTTGGAAAGGGATGTATCAAAACAGTTCTTGCTGCAGCCCAATCTGGTAGAGCTGGTGGTAGACCAAGAACACAGTTACAGGGACTGGAGAGATAACACAAAGGTTACAGGTTCCTGCTAGCATGCAGCCATGGGCACTGCAACTCTGGGGTGAATCCCAGCAACCCACAGGGTCCCCCGATTCCCATCAGGAATGAGTCCTGTGCGCAGAGCCAGGAGAAAGCCCTGAGTACTGCCGGGTGTGGCCACAAAATTAAAAAAAAAAAAAGCAAAAAACCCTACAACAACAACAACAACAACAACAAAAGATCCCCACCTTCCAGAATGGGAATTCAGGACCAGAGAGAGTTCAAAGGGCTAGAGCAGACATGACGCACACAGAGGGGCCAGCTCCGTCCCTGGCACCACCTGGTTCCCAACCCCTAGCGCTGCGGATTACAGTCCACCACCACCAAAAAAATAATAAATAAATAAATAAATAAATAAAGGAATTTAATAGATACTACCAAAACAGGAACACAATAAAACAGGTTTTTTTAGCAGGCCCTTTGGTGACGGATGAGGGACAGACACTCTATGTATGGGACAGAACTGGCCACTAGTGGCAGTGGGGCTGTGGAACTGGGTGGACATCTGAGCAACAGATCAGGAGGGAGGACCATGATCATTGTTCATCACCCAGAATAGCAGCTTCTGTGTCTGGGTTTGGACGCTGCTGAGAGGGCTGGTACTCACGCTGCCGGGCCGGGGGCTGATGTCCGGGAACCCGTATGTGGTCCAGCGAGATGTCTCTTTGTTCAGCTCCTTGTACTTGCCCTCAAACACACTCTGGATATCGCTGAGTGCAAAAGCACAGACAGCAGAGCTTCTGCTCCCACCAACCTGCCTGGGGAGAGCCAGGGAGAAGGGGACATTGTGTGACTGCCCGCTGTCCCAGGAGGCTACCTTTCAGCCCTGCATCCCCCAAGCCCTCATCAGGGCTCTCAGACCTCTCTCCCACCTGGCCCCTGCCCATACAACTATTATATGACCATGAGAGGTGGTGCACAGATCATAGCAGGGCTCCGGGTAAACCCTCCTTTCGGGACCCCTTATCCCTAGTTCTCAGGGTACAAGAGCCCAACTTGGCTGAATTTGTTCCTTCCGGCTCCATCTAGCTGTTTGGCTTTTGTTTTTATTCTTTTCGTCTTTGAGCCACACTTAGTGGAGCTCAGGGCTGAATCCTGGTGGGGCTCTGGAGACAATATGGGATGTCATGGATCAAGCCCGGGTCTGCAGTACGCAAAGCAATGCCCTTCTCACTATACTATGCTTGGCTCCAGCCATGGTCTGTCTATTCGTTCTCTCTTTTTTAGGGGGGCCACACCCGACAGTGCTCTGGCTCTATGCTCAGGGATCACTCCTGGCAATGCTGGGGAGACCATATGGGATCCTGGGGGATTGAATCTGGGTTGGACACATACAAGGCAAGGGCAAGCCCCTCCCTTATTCTCTCTTGTTCTCTCTGACCTGAGGCACACCTCGTCCTAAACTCTGGAGATTGTGGACACCAGTCCTTCCCTGATGCCCATCAGCAGGTGTTTAAGTGGAGACAGACCAGATGGTGAAAACTCAAGCAAATTGTGAGCCTTTCTTTTTTTTTTCCTTTTTCTTTTTTAAATTATTTTAACTAACTGTGGGCCTTCCGCAGCCTTCAAGCAATTCCTTCCTTTCCATCTCAGGCCACGGAGAGCCTTTCCCTCAGCTCTGAGCTAAAGAATGACCGAGCCAGGGCTGAACAGTCCTTGGGTGCTGCACTGACTCCATTCCTGGATTCCCTTATTTGCCTGCTATTCCCACTCCCCTATCGAGTCCATTTCACATTATTCTTTTGACTTTTCTTTGTTTTAGAGTTACACCCAGCAGTGCTCTGTACAAGGGATCACTCCTAGCAGTGTTTGGGGGACTCTGTGTGGTGCCAAGAATCAAACCTGGTTCTGCTACATGCAAAACAAGAGCCTACTCTCTGTACTATCTTTCCAGTTCTTCGTTTCACTTTCATATTTGGCTTTGGTAAGCTGCCTCCTATAGACTAATAAGAACCTCTCTGAGTGTGATTTTTCACATTTACATAAGAGGCATGAGTCAAGTTCCTGCCTGAGAAGGGATGATGAACAAATGCCTTTTTTTTTTTTTATTGCCATACCCTGTGATGCTCAGGGTTTACTCCTATCTCTATGCTCAGGGATCACTCCTGGCAGGGCTCAGGTACCACCTGGGATTTCCAGGATCAACCCCAGGTAGAACACATGCAAAGCAAACGCCCCACCTGCTACACTATCTCTCAAGCCCCAGATGTCCTTTTTTTTTTTTTAAATGGAGTGCTCAGAAGCCATTCCTGGTGGGTGCCCGGGATCAAACCCTGTGCCTCCTGCCTGTCTTCAGCCTTTTGAGTCGACCCTGGCCCCACAACCATCTTCTGATGAGAATGCAAAATATGCAATCAGTTAAGGTCAGTCCCTTGCCCTCTTAGCCAGCCAAAGCTGCCCAGTCTGGGTCGGGGATGCCACGCTCAGTCTCCCCAACCCCGCATTCTGTAGGAACTCACCACTGAGAGGTGAAGACTGCATAGACGTGGGCCTCAGAGGAGTCGTCTGCGGAGAGCAGGACCGCGTGGCGAATGACATTGAAGGGCAGCTGTCCCGGCTGGGCGCAGAGCAGCTGGGCCTTCAGGAACGTGGTCCACTTCCTTTGCAGCAGCTTTTCACCGCCCACATCATTCTAGGGGCAAAGGAGGAGTTCAAGAGGGGACACTCGCCTCCCCACCTCCCGACCCGCGAGTCCCCGCCCCCTGCCCCGCTGCCATTGGGCCCTCGGCGCTCGGCCCGCCTCCACCGTCTCCCTATTGGCTCGTCTAAGGCCAGCTCCGCCCCTCCCGCCCAGACCGCCCACCTTGCAGACTTGGGCCACGCGAGACGTGCGCAGCTTCTCGAAGAATTCGAACTCGCTGGCGGTCTCTTCGAAGAAGAAGTAAACGACATCTGTCGAAGGGACGGCGGCCACGAAGGAGGCGTCGGCTGCGGGGGCGGGGCGGACAAGCACAGGCACTGAGCCTGAGGGTGGCCTGGACCCCCCCTTCACGCCCCTCCCCCATGCCTTGGGTTGCCGCTGGAGACCCCGGGAGGATGCCCGGAACCCCGCAGCTGGCCTAGGAGTGAGCTTGCATCGTGGGGAGGGGGATCCGGGCCAACTGGTTAATTTATTTACGTAAGCTGCACGTTGCAAGAGAAGGGGATATTTGTCTTCATCCCTGTTGTACCCCGGAACCTGAGGGTAATGCCTCGCACACAATACGCCCTCCACAAAAGGGAGCGGAAGGAATTAATAGCCGTTCAAGCGCCAGGTCTCAGGCACCCGGCCAAGGGCTCAGCCCGAGAGGGGAGGGGGCAGTGTCTGGGCACTTACGCTGCAGCCAGCGGAGGAAATTGTCGGTCTTGAGGACAGGCTGGGGTCCCAGTGCACGCATCAGGATGGGCTCACTGCCCAGGAAGTTGTTCATGGTGCCAGAATAGAGCATCCCATCTAGGGCAGGGGAAAGGGGCTGTGTTCACAGTCGTTCACGGCCGTCTTCTCCCCTTTATGGAGTTCAACCCCTTCCCCCCAAACCCAGGCCCAGCTACCATCCCTCCACTGAGCATCCCTCCTAGGTCCTGTGGCTCTCTGTGACTTGAGCACTTTACCAGCTTCCTTTTTTTATTGTTGTTTTTGTTCTTTGCTTTGGGGCCACACACAGTGGTGCTCAGGGGTAACTTATCTCTGCACTCAGGAATCAATCCTGGAGAGCTTGGGGGACCATATGGGATGCTGGGGGTCAAACCCTGATAGACTGCGTGCAAGGCTAATGTCCTCCCTGCTGTACTGTCACTCCATCCTTTCTCTTACTTTTATTTAGTCTCCTCCTTCCACATGCCCAGTTGAACCACTTGCCACGCAGTACTGTTCATTGTACCGCCAAAGGTGATGGCGCCTTCTGCTTCCGCACCTTGGATCCTGCTTTCCTGCATAAAACTTCTTTTCTCCCCATCTGGCTCTCTTTCCATATCCCACACAAAAGACCATCACCTCCAGGAAGCCAGGTACAAACTAACAGCTCTTGTCCAGGAAGGCAAGGCCCTCCAATTCTAGCAAGAGGCCTGACTCATGGGTAAAGGGATTCCTGGCTGTGAGGCCTCTCCCTAGCCTGAGACCAACCCTCCTGCCTCTGTGTATCCCCCTTCACTCTCCTGAGGCCTGGCCTCCCGTCCACTATCAGAGCCTGTACTTCACAGAGGCCAGAGCCCGATGCTCACCTGCCAGGACAGCTGTGTGCTTATGAGCAGGGTCAAAGGGGCTTTGACCTTTCCCCTCCATGACCCCATTCTCCAAGATGGGCAGCAGGTCAGAATCTTGGAGTTCCTGGAAGGGGGGGGGGAGAAGGGGGAGGAAGAGAAGCTGAGGGGCCAAAACGCCAGAGTCTCATGTCAGGGGAAATGAGGGGTATGAGGGAGGAGGGGAACGGACATCGGGGAGGTCAGACACCAAGGCCGCGTCTGCATCTCCAGAAGGGTTTTCCAGGGCCCCGGAGTGGAGCAGGATGGGTAGGGCCCGAGAGGAGCCAGAGAACTCACAATGAAGGTGCAGGAGGGGCTGAAGGCGAAAGTACCGCAGGCATAGAGGTGGGTGGTGTTGAAGGAGACCAGGACTCGAAGAAAGTTGAAACACTGTGTCTGGGGGCCAGAGAGACAGGACAGTGGGTAAGGCACTTGCCTTGCACGCAACTGACCTAGGTTCTGTCCCCGGCACCACATAGGGTCTCCTGAGCCCTGCCAGGAGTTTCCCTGAACTCAGAGCCAAGAGTAAACCCTGAGACCACCAGGTGTGGCCAAAAAAGAAAAAAGGGAGGAAAAAAAAAAGGAGCATTATTTTCTGGGTTGGGGTTGGGGAGTTAGAGTTCAAGCCTTCAGAGCACTGTCTGAGGGCCCCTCAATACCAGGACAGAACTTAGCAACAGCCATGCAGGCAAGTGCCTCTCCGGTCACCCAGAGCAGCTCTGTGGGCCCCTGTACCCCCTGCCGAGCCCCCTCCCACCCACTCACCTCATTGCTCTTCTTGAAGGCACAGTCCCTCTTTTTCCTGTCACTGGCTGGCCAAGGTATCTGAAGCAGGAAGTGGGAAAAGAGAGATGAAATGCAGTGATGGGTCCTGAATTCCAGTTTTTTGGCGGGGGAGGGGGGGGTTGGGGCGGGGGCGGTCATCACCTCCTTGGCTTAGGGGTGTAAGCCCCAGACCCCATGATGGTTTATGGGATCAGATGGGTTACAGAGACATCAGCTTGTGACCACCTCTGACACTTTCAACTCTGAACCACCTCAGGACCCAGGTTTGATCCCCAATGTCCCCAGCCCCCACCTCAGGGTCCCCTGAACCCAGCTGGGAATGATTCCTGAATGCAGAGCCAGGAATAAGCCCTGAGCACGGCTGGGTTGTGCATACACACACACAGACACACAGACACACACACACGCATATACACATCAATAAAAAAAAATTAAAAAAAAATAAAATATCCATTTCTGGCTCCCACCAGCCTTTTTTCCTTCTCAGTCTGGGAATGGAACCCAGGGCTTCACACAAAAAAGGCAGGAGCTCTGCCACTGAGCTACTTCCAGCTCCAGAATCTGACTTTTGAGTTGGGACCCCAGGCAAGCAGGTGCCCTGCAGAGAAATGCCCCCGCCCCCTCATGATGGGTTGTTGGTCCCTGCCTCCCCACCCCCCTTGTCTGTCCTTCTCTGGCTTCCTCGGCTGTTCACACCCAGGTTCAGGGATTTCTGGGAGTGGGCGGGGATCATATTATTGATACACTTTGAATCAGTGTTTCTCTCCACATCAGTGGTGTGCCTCTCAGCCACTCAACAATGACTGTCATTCACCCAGCAGTGTGGGAGGCATGGTGAGGCCACTCTGACATTTCTCGTCTGTTACAGGACCAGATACATAAATAAGACAGGAACTGCTGATTATTGCCAATTATAAATAACACCAATTGCTCAGCTATTCATCGCCCGGGCAGCCCAGACGGCAGACCCAGGCCAGCTGCCACCCCTCCTCATCCCCAGCGCCTGCCCTTTGTCCCTGACCTCCTTACCATGCTCTTGAGCCTCGGCACCCCTGGGTCCTGGATGTCCAAGGCCAGGATGGCCTCTCGTGCCCCCACGTAGAGGGTGCCACCATCACTGCTCAAAAGCAGGGTGTCGAAATCCTGGAGGCCTTTCTGGTGGAAGAGGCTGAGCCCCCTGCGCCCGTCCCCTGCGGGTGAGTGACAGGAAGTTTGTGGGCAAAGCGGATCTTTTCCAAGTGTGACCAGAGTGGGTTTGGGAGGAGTTGGCAGAGAGTGCTCCCTGGGCGTTGGCAGCTGAACCACCGGCTCTTTGGCGGTGGTTCCTGCTCACTGCGCCTGCTGGCAGGCCCCCCAAAATCTGTGTGCATTGCCCACAGTAGTGAGACTGGTGGGGGGTGGTAATAGCAGCCTGGAGCTGGGGATGAGGGTCTGCCCCCACAGACAGACAAAAGGGCAGGAACCCAAGTGAGCCCCACTAAAGGTGCTTCCAGACCTGGGGCTGCATTTGATGGGGCTGGGGTGGGGGCTGATAGGCAGAAGCTTTGGCCGCTACCGGCAGGCTCGGAAGTCATGGGGTCCTACTCACCAGCCCCACTTCCTTCCTCCTCTTACCGCAGGACGTGGCCACCCCCAGAAAGGAAAGTTCTGTGCAGAGCATCGTGGGTGTACCTGTCTGCTGGCGTGAGAGCAGGTGTGGGGGCTCGTGGTGGGGGGGAGGGTTACAGGGGGCCCTGAGCTTGCCTAGGGCTCACACTGGGGGACGCGTCCCTCAAACGGACACATACTTTGGGGGAGCTGAACACGCCGACTCTTTCCTTTCAGGGGTCAGGACGGAGGGAGGAGCTGGGGAAGTGAAATGCCCTGTGGTGTGCATGGGCAGGGGGCTAAGTCTGGGCCTTGTTGGCATGCCCATGCCAGGTGCTCGCGCTGCTCCACCAACGGGCATCATGCATTGCCTTGACTAGGTCAGCTGGAAAGGTGCTAAAGCTAAGTTCCTGCCCGGTGGGTAGGATGTTTGCCTTGCACACGGCTGATCTGGGTTCAATCCCCTGCGTTCCAGGAGGGTAGAGCCAGGAGAAACCCCTGAGCATCGCTGGGTGTGACCCCAAAAGAAAGCAACAACCACAATAACAACAAAGCTTCTGCCCGGGGTTCCCCTTCTGGCCTTGTCCCCAGGTGACAAGCCCTCAACCCCGCGGCTCCACCCTGGGGCCGCTGTCCTGACTAGGAATTCTAGCTTGATCTCTGCCTGGCTTCGGCCTGTTGTGGCCTCCAGCTCAGAACTTAGCTTTAGGGGCCCTGGTGGGAACTCACTGAGGGGCTTGAGGGGCACAGAGGTGACAGTGACATTTCAAGAGGAAATAAAAAATCACCAGGGGCCCGAGTGATAGTCCAAGGGGGTAGAGCTCTTGCCTTGCATGCAGGCAACACAAGTTTGATGCCGGCACCACATATGGTCCCCAGAGCCCCTCTCGGAGTGATTCCTGAGCACAGAGTCAGGAGTCATCCCTGAGAATAGCCAGGTGTGGGCGACAAATGAAAATAGAAAAAAAATATATCCCCAAATTTAGAGAAGTGGGCCAATGCCTGGGGAAGCACCTCTCTTTTCCACACCCTCACTCCTGCCCTTCACCCCGCACACCCTCACCCCTGCACTTCACCCTACTCACCCTCACACCTACATTTCACCCCGCATACCCTCATCCCTTCATCTTCACCCCGCACACCCTCACCCCTGTGTTTCACCTTGCACACCCTCACCCCTGCGCCGTACCCTGCAGATCCTCAGCCCTACATTTCACCCTGTATACCCTCTCCCCTGTGCTTCACCCCACATCCTCACCCCTGCACTTCACCCCACACGCCTTCATGCTATAACTCTGTGCTGCCACCTGCTCTTTCTCCCCTCTTTGTCTCCTGTCTCCTTCATCTCTTTCTGTCTTTCTGTCTCCCTCTTCTTTCTCTTGCTCTCTCTGTCTCCCTCTGTGGCTTGGGGGACCATACTTGATGACCATACTTGATCTCTCTCCCTCTCCTCCCTCCTCTCCTCTCGTCCGTTCTCTGTCTACTTTTCTCTCACTCTCTTTCTCTCTCCCTCTCCCCCGACCCTGTCTCTCCCTCTCTCTCTCTCTCCCCCCTTCTCAGTCCAGTTGTCCTCCTGTCTCTCTGGCCATCTCGTTTCCATCCTGCCCCTCTCCCTTCACTTCCTGTCTCCTTCGTCTGCCCACCGCCAGCTCAGTGCCCACGGCCACCTGCCCAGCATTCTCTTACCTGCATGGAACTTGACCCTGGGCACGGGTCCCTGTGCCCCGTCCCCTGCCGTGGTTGGCGGGAGCAGCTGCAGGAGCAGCTGGAAGAGGAAAAGGCCCAGGAGGCTGCAGGGGTCGAGGCCCAGGACAGGGAGGGCCATGCTCCGCGGGCAGCCGTCAGCAGCTGGCACTGGGGAAACAGGGGAAGGCTGGGGTGAGCGAGTCCTCACCACATCCCCCTCGGGGACCAATGGGAGAGCCCCAGGCGGCAGAAGCTTGAAGGCGGGTGCCGAGGAGGGGCAGGGGGTCCCAGTTCCTCTTTGGACCAGCCTCTCCTTTCCATCACGGCTCAGGCTGACCCTGCTTTCCCCTCCTGCCCTGCCTTCCAGGATCATCTCAGGAAGCCTCCCAGCTGCCTGCTGGCGGCCTGGCCTCCTCCGGGAGTCCAGAGTCTAGCACATTGCTAGGTCCCAGGCAGGACCGGCTCCCTGCCCTCCAACACAGCCTCTCCAGCCCCACACGCCCGTCACTGGCACCTCTATGACTCTCTGGGCCTCACACCCACCCTGCCCTCCCCTGACCTGTGCCGGCCCGCCAGGCCTGGCCAGCCCGTCCAGCCTCTCCCCGGGGCCAGCGGGGATCAGGGGCTGTGTTGCCCAGGCAGGGCAGAGGGTGCCCACCCGTCTCCCAGCAGCTCCCTCAACATCCATCCCTGAGCCACGTCCTCTGTCCCCACCACACAGCGTCCCCGGCACCTCTGACCCCAGAGTGACCAATCTCACCTACCCTCGAGCCAGCCACAGTTGGAAAGGCGGCTTCCGGGGTGCAGGTGCCATCCGAGAAGAAGAGAGGGGGGTTCTCAGACCCCAGGGGCAAGGGCCAGCAGGGACCAGCAAGGGCAGGAGGCTCGGCCCGCCGGGGCCCAGTGTGCGGCCCTCCGGGTACCCATAGTGCCAACACCAGCCCAAGCGCGGCTGGGAAACCTGCTTTTCCACCTATCCAGTTGTGACAGATCCCGCTGGGGCGGAAGCTGGGAGACGGGAGGGAACAGACACGCCTCTCTCACTCCGCCCCTCACTCCGTCCAGGGAGACCACGGGAAGGTCGTTTCAGCCCTGGCCCTGCTGATCAGGTCCCACTGAACCAGCACAGCGGCTGGTCTCTGCCTCCACTCAGGCTTCCTGACAGCCGTGGCACCCGTGACACCAGCTATCAGGGGTCCTCTTTCCACGGAGCCCACCTCGCCCTCCCACAGCCTCCTCAGGGCCTTGGGGGGAGGGGAGAGAGTCGGTAACCTTCACACAGCCCACTTCCTGCCCACTTAGGCTTCTTATTTTTTGTTTTGTGGGCACAGACGGTGCTCAGGGCTTACTCGTAGCTCTGCACTACAGGGATCATTCCTGGCAGTGCTCAGGGAACCCCATGAGGTGACAGGGCTCGAACCTGGGTTGACTGTACGTAAGACCAATGCCCTACCCACTGTACTGTGGCTCCAGTTCCCTCAATTAGGCTTTTTTGCTGCCAAAAAAAAAAATGCTGCCAGAAAGATAGGACAGTGGGTAGGGCACTTGTTTTGCACATGGCCAGCCCAGGTTTCCATACACTGCATCAAGTATGGTCCTCTGAGCCCTGCCAGGATTGATCCCTGAGCAAAGAGCCAAGAGTCAGACCTGAGCACCTCCAGTGTGGCTCAAATATAAAAACAAACAACAATATTTATATAAATATTAGATGAATAATGACACAAATAAACATGCATGGATTTGCAGAGACTGGACAAAGATAAGGCACTTGCCTTGCATGTGGCTGGCCAGGTTCTATCCCCAGCACCCAGTAAGGTTCCTGAACACACCAGGAGTGAGCACAGAACCAGATGTAAGCCCTGAGCACTGATGGGGGCGTTGGTCCAAATTACATGATTTCTTTTTTCAAAAAAAAAAGAAAGAAAGAAAGGTAAAACTAAGTCTGCCTAAGCACTTCTGAGAAAGTCCCTCCTGAAGTCTGACCTTCGTGTCTCTTACCAGAGTTCCAGGCTCAGGAGGGCTAGAAAATTCCCCCTCTGAGCTCATACTTCTGGAACCTGCTCCTGAGTATACCCAGCCCCCACAGTGGTGGCTGTTCACCCCTCCCTTAAGCTAGGGGGAACCTCATAACGCAGGGTTAATGAGGCACCTGGCACCCTGGGCTCTGTGACCTATAAACTGGGGTGCTTCTGTGCAGTCTGCCTGAGACTAGCTGAAGGCTGGTGAGGGAGCACCCAGGGCTGAGATGACTCCAATAAAGGCCCCCCTCCTCCACGCGCCTTCCGGGTCAGGAAGCCCTTCCTGCTGCTGACGCCCACACTGATGCCCAGCTAGTCACTGAGCTCTCCCTCGGTTCCTCTGGGCACTAGGCTCAGCCCAACCCCTCGCCAACCATCCCTCTTAGCCCCCTAGCTGTTGGCAGCTGGTTGCCAGGTCCCTGAGGAAAGACGGCGGCTGGGGGGCCCAGGGAAAGCTGCTGGATTCTCCCGCATCAAAGAGACTCCCAGGGCCAGAGCGAAGACTAAAGCACAAAACTTGTGTCTTGTATGCAGAGACCCCAAGTTCCATCCCTAGCATTGGGTGCCCTCCCCCCAACCCCCCACCGCCCAAGCCAGGTGTGACCCTGGTCAAGCCCAGTGCCTGCCCAGACACTGAGCCCACAAGGCCAGGAGGAGCACTGAGGCTTCAGGAGTGTGGAACCAGGCTGAGGGTCAGCCGCAGTGGGCCCTGTGCACAGAGTGGAGGGCCTAGAACAAAATAACTCAGGGAGGAGAGACAGGGCAGCAGGTAAGACACATGCCTTGCACTCTGTGGACCTAGGTTCGATTCTTGGCACCCCATAGTGTCCTTTGAGCCCTGCCAGGAACGATTCCTGAGCACAGAGCCAGGAGTCAGCCCTGAGTACTGCCAGGTGTGGCCCCAAACCCAAAATAATAATAATAATAATAATAATAATAATAATCCTAAAATAAAGAACAACAGTTTTGACCTGGACCCCACCTTTCCTGAGTTTCCTCCACCCCCCAGCTCAGATTTGGGGACAGACCCTCCCTGCCCTGTCTGATGGAACAGATTTGGCTTATCTGGGTCAGCTCTGTGCCTAGCCCTGCCCCCTCCACCCCCACCTCACCCCGGAAGTGCCTAGTTCCTCCTTCTGCAGACACCCAGAAATTCTCCGCACGGCCCCAGTCCTCCTTGTACCAACCCCTCTAGCCAGTCCCTCGTCAGGCTGTGACCCACAACCCAAGCCCACCCTGGGTGGTGCCTTGTATTCCCATTTCACAGATGTGCTATGTGAAGTCCCAGCACTAGAAAAAAGCCAAGTGAAACCCAGATCTTCCTCAATTAAATCTTAGTCTCATCACGCAGAGTCCCGGCTCTCCCAGACCCTGCTCCAGCACTCAGACACTTTAAAGAAGGGTGGGGAGTTGTCCAAGCACCAGTTGGTCTGGGCTAAGGAATAATATCTCTGGAGCATTTTTTGAGGCCTCCTGACTCAGTTTGGAATGAAGAACTGTCCTTCCCCCAAGCACCGTCCCTGTGCCACCGGGCCCCAGGTTCAAAGTCAGGAGCCGCCTTCGCCAGCAGTGGGCAGAGCCGGGCCAGGGCAGCCTGCAAGGGCCCCCCGCTGCCGCCACGGCGCTGCTGTCTGAACGTGGGCACCGTGAGGGTCCCAGATGCCCTGTAGCACTGGGTCCTGCCAGGCGTGCAGCGGGCCTGCCCACTCCCACTGCAGGGAAGACTGGAGCCTGCACACCCCAGGATGTACCAGGACTGGGGCCGGGAGAGGAAGTGCCGTGGCTGCTGGTGGGGCTGCCTGCATAGCGATAGGGGCGGGTGGCCGCTGTGGGACAGGTCGCAGGAACCCAGCTCCTTCCAGCCTAATCTGGGGATCCCTCAATTGTTTTCTCCCCTTGCATTGGGGTGCAGACAGGAGACACCCCCACCATAACGATGCTGAGTTCCTGTCCCCTTTACCCCTCCCAGCTGCTCCAGGAATTCCGCCCCCATAGCCCCTGGAAGGTCCCCCCCGCCCCCCCCACCCGCCTGCCTGTCTTCCCTGGAACAGTGAGTTGTGGCCGCAGGGACGCGGCTCAGCACCCCTCCCTGAGGCACCAGTGGGTGCAGAGTCCCCGACACCTGCTCCCCCAACCCCAGGAGCACAGTTCTAGAACCCCATCCGGCTTCCCTCACAGCTTCCCAGCAGTGACCACCCTCCAGTCAAATCAACTTGTGTTTACCAAGTGCCTACGGAGCGGAGCGGCGGGCACTGCCACCCCCACAGCCTTCCTGCCGCCCCCAGTCCCAGCCCCCGAGCCCCAGCCCAAGTGTCCTCGCAGGACGAGCGGGGGCGCGGACCCAGACACACAATGGCCCGACCCCCGCCTGCCCCCTGGGGCCCCGCCAGCGTCAGACAATGGCCCGCCACTCGCTTTGCTCGCTGCAGCCTCCTTACCTGGAGCAGGGGGGTGCCTCGGCGTTTCCCTCCTTCTGGAATGCCGGCAACCGTCTCCCCGGGGCTCCGTCCCGGCCACGCCCCCGCCCCCCATCCCCATCCCCAGCCCGCCTCACTGGTCCTCGGTCACCATGGCGACCGCATCTCTAAGTGGGAGGGACTACAATCTCCCCATTTCTGCCTCCTCCTACCCGGGTCCCCCCAGCCCCACCTTCTGCGGCTCCTGGAGCTCCAGATGTGGGGGCCCCCCTGCCGCAATCGCGCCCGCTGCGGGGCTGTCTGCACCCACGTGGGCTGGGCGCCTGCGGCGGCTCTGGGCTGGTCAGTTTCTCTAGGTTTCACTCCCCCTGGGAAATGTGTGGATGTGGGGGTCACCCCTGGATGCCAGCCAGCTGGACCCCAGGCAAATGGAGTTTACCAGTGAGGATGCGAACGAGCCCCCAAATATCGATGCAAATAAATCAAACATCTCTGCAAAACAACGGGCGAGACAGGATCCTGTTGATGTCCTGTCCAGCCTCAGGTCCCCACAGGTCCCGCTGCCAGCCTCACCCTTGGCCCTTTCTTCATAACCTTCTGGGCTGAGTGGGGGCAGAGACAAAGAGAGATCGGAAGAGAGACAGAGACAAAAAGAGACAGACAGACACAGAGGCAGACAGAGACAAAGAGATAGAAATAGACACAGACAGAGAGAGACAGACTCAGAGACAAGGAGTCAGACATAGACAGAGAGAGATAAACAAAGATAAAGAGATAGATGGAGACAGAGAAAGACAGAGACCGAGAGACATCTGCAGACACAGGGAAGCCTGCGCTGAATTTATGACACCCCTGTCCCCAGGACCAGCAGAGACAAAGTG